GCTCAGACAACGAACAGGAACGACGTCGCTGATTCATCTCACGGCAGCCTGATGATGAGGGGAGAGCGCGTTGCCACGTATGGTCAAGGGAATCCTTTTCACAGCGCCGTTTCGTGCACCTTTTGTATCGTCAAGGACCTCGACAGGAACCTCTGAAGTCATGAAGTGACATTTCATGTTGGGCGAGCTCGGGCCGCTCACAGAGGACCACGGTGACCATGATTTATCCTTTGTGACACTGAGAGCTTCTCTGGCAGCCCGCCCGAACCCCAAACTCGTCTCCTTGTCCCGGCGAGCCTCTGCGGGGACACTTTAGGTGGCCTCTGCTTCTTCGTCTTTACGCACTAACGCATTTTTGTTTTTTGCACATCCCATCCCATTGTCCCACCATGTAGCGGAGCCAATTATCTTCCTCATCTACCCACTCCTTCTTTTTTTTCATCCTCCGCTCCCAGGTGTCATACAGCTTCTCCTTTGTTATGCAAACCGTGTCTGAATCCTCTCTGAGGCTGTGCAGAGAGACTGCCCCATGTTTTTTGTTGTTGTTTGTTTTCTTCAGGTTGAGACTTGAATTCCTGTGGGCATGGTCCCATTTCCCCACGGTCATTTTTCTCTCCTCCTCTCCTCCGGCAGTGGAAGCCGAGAGCCACCCCCCCACCCCCCCGCGTGCCCTCCTCCTCCTCCTTCCTGCTGCCTCCTTCTCTTCCCCAGCCTCAGACATGAACTCTGTAAACACTGAGGCTTTGTCTGCAGCTGTTGTGGTCGATCTGTAGGGGTGAAGTTCGAGTCCTGACGGAGCGACGGTTTGTGTCCGGCCTGGACCGAGTTTTTGAACTTTGGTTGACCGGAAGAGCCAAGGGGGCGGGGAGGGGGAGGCGGAAGAAAAAGGCAAAAGCCACTGTGGCTGCCGTTGTCTGCGGCGGCGGGCGGATGCTCCAAATACCTGTAGGCGTGTTTCATGACCACGAGTGATTGCGTGTCCTCATTTAACTGCGGCCTGGGTTGCACGGCTGCCACGTGTGAGCCGTGTAATTCCCTCTGGAACAGTGGCAGCGCTGGTAACAGGCAGAGATCAATGGGAATTTAATTGCCACACACATTAGGGGATGGGTTGCACCACCTGGGACTGGGTCTCTGAAGAGTAAGAGATTACTTAAACTGCTTTCAGAATAATTATAACACATTTAAAGTCACCAACAAAAGCACACGCACACACACACAGCAAAGCCTTGGTTGGAAAGAAAGAAGACAGAAAGCTCAAACTAGCATTAAATAACAATTGTGGAGTTTAATGACAGACCCCTTTGCATATCATGCAGCATACTAAACATTTTGAATCATCATGAAATCCATATGGGTTGAAAGTAGTTTTTGTAGAGGACTCTTTTGCTCGACCAGTCACAAAAAAACAAACATTTACAATTAAAACTTCTATTTTACATAGTTCATAGGCAATCTATCCAAAATTCTAAATTTTTAAGTTAAAAAATGTCACTTACTCATTGCAAGTATCTCCTTTGCATTTGTACTATGTTTCTTTTTCTTCCGGCTTTTTGTAAATGCATGAATTTTAAAATCGGTTGCGTGAATCACACACCAGGGTCTTCCTCGTAGGCGTCTCTTACCTCTGCTGTAAATCTTTCCTCATTCATTATGGTAAAGAGAAGCTCAACTAGTGGTTGTCCTTCCACTCTAATGATGCCTCTCCAGTCACAAATTGAGACAGGAATCTTTCCAGATTAAATGTATTTGTAATTGAGTTCATTTTCTAATGGAAAGTGAACAGACTATGCCCAGAAACATGAACAACAGGTAGATGAGTCACTCTTGTGTACGGGAGAGACACCGGCAGGCACTTTGCATTCAGCACCACAGCAGCCGGCGGTGCGTACAGTCGTGTGATTCCTCACATGCACTTTGGCTAACTAAGATTACCTAAAAACATTACTGCCACCGAATACAGAAGCAAACAGCTACTATCCGTGGGAAGGCAGAGAATGAAGTCGCTCTGCGTGCGCGCTGAAATCCCACTTTATCCTTTCTTTGTTGACATAGGTGGGCCTGCCTGCCGCGCGCGCTTTCTGTGCATGTTTGTGTAAGCGAGCGCGCCTCATGGGTCAGCTCACAGCCGTACTTGTTAAAAGTGTTAAGCCGAAGAGAGAGGGAATGAATGGTAATATGGAGGATACAGAGGAGGTTTGTCTCTGTGCTGTGACAGTCTTCCTAATATACGCTTTCAAAGATCGTAATACATTGTAGGGCTTGCAGTGTCGTAATGAATTGCAAAATGCTACGGTTTATTGGATGCGGTTAGCAATGAAGGGAGGGTAGATTATTTTTTTATTGGATGCTCTCAAAATGCGGTGTCATATTTTATAAGAATAACAAATGGCGCGGGGAGAGATTCACGAGGACTGCAAACGTGTCCTCACCAGGGACATGAATCAGTTGAGGGTGTGACAAACGAGTAGTTTGAGAGTCACAGTGCGTCTTAGATCTACAGGGAGGGCCGCGTCCTTCTCGGGACCTTGCTGCACCGAATTCATACAGATATACCCCCCCCCCCCCCCCTGCTGTGAAGAGAAAAATGGTCAGTGCGCATTACTCTTTAAAGATGATGTGTCATTTGCCCTTTAAGATGCACGTGGATTTTATTAGTGCAGTAAACTTAATGCACAAGTCCCATTAATATGAGCACTGGCGGGACAGCAGAGCGTTTTTTCTCTGATTTATCTAAAAAACTAATAGCTGATCCTGTTCCAGCACAATTCTCAAGCTGCCACCATGTTCTCCGCACATTTAATGGATATGGAGCTTTGATCATTTGTCCTCTTCTTAACTTCAACTTCCCCTGAATGAAGTATCCGGCGTGGTGCTCTGATTACGTCCTTGCTAAGTACCAGAATCTGATTGCCCTCCATTATGTGAGGAATGAATACAAATGGGCAGGCCGAGAGAGAGAGAGACAAAAGGGGGGCAGGAGGAGGGAGGGGGGGGGAACCGGCCGCGGATTAGGAATGAAAAGAAAGGCAGTCGGATGGACAGAAAAAAAGAGAGAAAAGTAATAGCAGGCGACGGGCAAAGGGTGGAAGGAGAGGAGCGAGCCGCGGACGAGCCCATCTTGACCTTTTCGGTCTGAGGGTCACAACGTTCAAGTAGCTTTAGTACCAATGGAGCATCTTCGGGTCTGGCCGAGGCTGTCAAAAGCCCCCCCCCCCTCCGTGTTCCCACATCCTCGCAGAGCCTGCGGCCTGTCACTCCCCTGCCAAAAGTGGAGCTCATTTGTGGAATATGGAATGCGTTCCCATGCAGGTCTCTCCGGCGGAGCGGACGGGATCAAAGCGCGCGCGCGCGCAGGGGGACACGAGCGCATCGCTCGGTGTCACCCGGTGAGAAGCCTCATTTCTTCTTCTGCCAGGCTGGATTCCGCTCATATTTCACGAGCAAGCTCTGTGCTCATCCCTCGTATGAAGTAATAACCTGTCCTGGATTGCGGGCCGCGTGCAAACCTCGCCTTCAGACTACAAGGTCTGTTTTGACAGCGCGACTAGTGAAACTAAAATCTGGGGGGGGGGTTATAGAGCTTGAAACCAACGTTTTTTTATTTCCACTTGCTATCAGGAAAGTTCTTAACTGAATGCATTTTGCTTTTACAAATGCATCTCACAAGGGGGTTTGTCTTTGGCCAAATTATGAATAAGATTTTATTGGTGAAGAGATGCCTGGCTGAACAAAAACACCGAAATATAACGGTCGAGTTCACATGTGAAAGGACCTTCACTGACATCAGGTCCATGCACAGATAAAGACCACGAGATGTGGCTAAAAAGCTGTGTAAAAAAAGGTGCAGGGAAGAACATCCTCAATAGAGAGCCTTGAAAGAAGAGTTGGCTTTATGAGCTTAATGTCGTCACTGAAAAGAAACAGTGGAAATAATCCTATCTCATCTTTTTTACAACCACATAGCTCAATAAAAGTAATAGATGGCTTAACCAGGTTAAGTTGGTCAATACATGTTCAATAATATACATTGACTCAAAATGTGCTTTTCCAAACGGTAGAGGAGAAAGTGTTAAAAGGTGCATTTAAGTAATTTATATTTTATTGATCCTCAACCGCACGTACCGTGTTTTCTTCTACATCTGTTTGAAAAAGCAAATCTGTTCAACCAATACATGAAGGTCAAAAGGTCAAAACAGCCCGTGGCTTTTAGGAATAACAGTGGTGTGGCTCTTGCCCCGGCTTTCCTCCCTCTTGATTAGAGCTTTGTGTGGCGCCTGCCCCAAAGGTCTGGACGCTGAATACTGAACGAGCTTTGGTTTCATTTCGTTAAAGGCACAGCACCATCTAGTGTACATGTAGAAACACTCAAAGTCCAAGTCTTTCAACGTTTGAGTGCTCTCACAGACATTGCAGAGAAATTACCCACAATGCACAGCAATGTTGTACCCTATGGTTGAATGCACTTATTGTACGTCGCTTTGGATAAAAGCGTCAGCTAAATGACATGTAATGTAATGTAATGTAAACAAGGTTTACCAGTGGAAGCATGTAGATGTAAAAAAAAAAAAAAGTAAACAAATACTGTGCAAAGGTTTTCAGCCAGGCTAATTGACGTTATTTGAACATATCGTTTTTGACGTGATAGGGTGCAGCTAAACGCTGTCTTTTGAATCCACACCATTTCAAACTCTTTAAGCCTAGTTTATGCTTCTGCGTTTTCAGAGCGACGCAGATGCAAGACCCCCTTGCGTGTCCCTTGCGTGTCTTTTCACACCTCCTTGCGTGCTTGCGTGTGTCGACCCATTTTTCTAGGCTTGCGTCGCTTCGTATGTAGCCCTTCAAAATGTTTAATTGAATGAACAAGGTTATAAATTGCAAAGGCTGGGATGGTGTGGCCATGACATATTTGAACCTTATTCTTATTTACCGATTGTCTGTGCAAAGTCTCCCACAACATGTGTCATTTAAGCTTTAAAAAAAAAGGAAAGTCAGGAAAAGACTGTTTATTTTTTTAATTTATTTGAAGATTAGTGAATTAGGCAATAACTAAAAGGGGATATTGCCTTTGAAAGACAATGTCCATCAGATCCATCAAAATGTTCAATGACAACAATGTGCTACACATACAGATATTGGTAATTAAAAGTACTTCAAAAAAGTGTTTGGGAAAAATAAAATAATTTCACCAAAATTTGCAAGTTCTCGAAATCTGAAAATTCCATATACATTAAGGCATTTTCCCAATTGTGGAGAAACCCTGCTCTGGAATACTTCAAAAATGACCCAGACTAGCTGGCCCTCTACATAAAAACAACACAAAGCGTAGGTGCAATATTAACTTGTACTTCCAACGTCGATCAGTCAGTCAGACTTAATACTTAACAGATCAGAACAGATCTTTGTAACTTCCAACTGCACGCCTTCCCAAAAGCTTCACATATCCTTCTTATAATTAAAAAGGTTTTATTGAAGACAAGCATGTAAACTATTTACGTCAATATATTATATCTAGTTCTGTCCCGAGACTTTAAAGCTTCAGTGACACAGATGCACGCTGCCAAGATTTACTTTGCAATTATTCTCCAATGAGGGATTTGTCCTTGTCCGACTTCAAGGACACCCATTTACCAAAATGTCAAAAGCTACTAAATGTGCAATAATCACCACAGCAGTCCATAAAAATGAACTCGCTCATATACAAATTAATAAATACAACGTGGCCGTTAACATAAATTAAAAGAGGGTTAGAAAACGTAACATCTCATCTGCTGCCTGGACAATGGCACAGACACAAACAACGTTAATGTCTTCATAACTAAAGTGATTCACTATAATGTTGAGCTTACTAGACTTCATTTTACAGGCTATTTGGGGATTTTCATATTTGAGGTCAAATATGCTTTCAAATATAGATTTGATTGCCATGGCTGAAGCGTCGAGGCATTCGGGTCAACCCTAAAATGAAATATTGAACACTTAAAATAGTTTTTTGCTTGGGTTTCAGGAACCTCTTCTTTACAGCGGTTTATGTACAAAAGTGTTGATACAGTCTCATAGAAGCGCACTCCACAACTTTGTACTGCATTCCTACCAGAGTACGCATCAAAGAACTCTTTGAACTAAAATATTTTAAAAATAATAATAATAGAAAGCTACATCATGTTTAGCTCTACCTATCTTTGAATTCTGCGTCAGGTTGTAATTTAGAAGGACAAGATGGTTCTCTGGATGATATCGATACAATCGCGCAGCTCGTGCTCTTTGATGATGAGGGGAGGCGCCAGGCGGATGATGTCACCGTGGGTGGGCTTGGCCAGCAGTCCGTTGTCACGAAGTCGCAAGCACACCTTCCAGGCATTGTAGTCTGAGGATTTGAAAAAAGAAAAAAAAAAAAAGGGTAGAGTGAGTGACTGCAATGTACAAAGTTGCACATTTAGTATAAAGAGAACCTCTGATATTAATTTAACGGGATAGTAATATAATATTTGTTTTTTTAGGGTACTGAGTTGGTTGGAATGGGCAGCTACATCTAACAGATCTTTCTCAATGAAAGCCAAGATCATGCTTAATGCACAAAAGTAAAGCGTATTATTAGCAGGGGATTTGTATTTTTATTTAAAAGACTCCATTACTCTACCTTTAGTCTCCTTAATGACGAAGGCATTGAGGAGGCCTTTCCCTCTGACGGCTGTCACGATGTCTTTGGGCAGTTTGCTCAGCTCGCTCCGCAGCAGCGCTCCCATCCTCTCGGCGTTCTCTGCCAGCTTCTCCTCCTCAAGCACCTGCAAACAACAACAGAATCAAAGAGGACTCGCGACATCAACAGGACATGCAATCTTCCTTTCTGATTGATTTTGAAGGAGTAAGGAAGTGGAGTTGTTAAAGGGTACATAGACAAATACACTATTTATTTATCTCACACTGACCTTCAGTGAGGCCATTGCGACCTGACAGGCCACAGGGTTGCCGCCATACGTGGAGCCGTGTTCTCCTGGCTTGATGGTCATCATTACCTCGTCGTCACACAGCACGGCAGACACCTGCGGCAAACGAGCGAAGAGAAAAAAAGACAACAAAAAAAAGGTAAGATAACCAGTATGCTCTATACTGCAGTGTGTGTCAGACTGTGTGGACAAACAGAGAAAACGTTCTCACGGGGTAAACGCCTCCAGAAAGAGCTTTGCCCAGAATCACAACGTCGGGGCGGACTTCCTCGTGGTCCACAGCCAGGCGCCGGCCGGTCCTCGCCAAGCCCGTCTGCACCTCGTCGGCGATCCACAACACCTGGAAAAAAACACAGGGGTCTTTAGTAGACTGCAGTGGTCCCCTCGGCCTGAGTTGCTTTTTGTCCTGTGTCCATAAACAGATCCTTAAAAATGTTTGTTTGTTTTTTTTTAACACACCCTAACGGTGTGAAGGCAAAAAGATGAAATTTGAAGGCAACATTTCTTTATGGCTTGCTTATTGTATAAACACCTACATTTAAGAACTGGGTTTTTGTTTGTTTACTATGAGCCTTTTAAAAGCTACATTAGAGAAGATCGTGTTACTAAAGCAACCCAAAAACAAACACAGGCTCTAGCAAAGAGCTTTTCTTTGCTTCTACGTTACAGCATTGCAATGCCCAAGGCGTGTAATTCAATGGGGGAAAAACTGGAATCCTCATGATGAACAGCCCAGACTGGTTTGTCCTCAAAGGATTTGGTGGAGCCACACTGTAGTCCAACAGCTGAATCGTAGCATTTGATCGGTCGACTGCTGCTTTTTGTCCAGACTCACGTTGTATTTGGTGCAAAGGTCTCTGACTTTGGTCAGGTAGCCCTGGTCCGGCACCACCACCCCCGCCTCGCCCTGGATGGGCTCCATCATGAAAGCGGCAACGTTGGGGTCTTGAAAAGCTTTCTGTGGGAAAATATATATAGATTTTTTTTTTTTTTTTTTAACGTGACTGCGTTCAGCAAGCCGGTCCTTGTTACATAAACAAAGAGGGTGGCTCTGCAGGTAGAATCAAAACGTGTACCTCCAGTGAAGGGATGTCGTTGTATGGGACCAGCTCGAAGCCCGGCATGAAGGGGCCGAAACCTTCGTAACTGCTGGGGTCAGTCGAGCTGGAGATGGCCGCCATGGTGCGGCCCCAGAAGTTTCCCTCTAAAATAAAAATGAGGAGTGCATGAGGCATACTTAACATTGTTGAGTTTACATCTTTACATAATGTAGGGGATTTGAAACCCTTCTCCTTTATCTGTCGAGAGGTCATCTTTCAAAATAAAATAAATAGATTTTTCCAACTACTTGAGCTCCAAGGAGATGCTCGCCATTTGGTGCCAGTTTTCTTCCAAAGGCAGCGGGTTAAGAAACAAATGTGACAAACTCCATCACTCTGACCGGGCGCTTTGCAACGCAAGGATGCGACTTACCCGCAAAAATGATTTTGGCCTGATTTTTGGGAACCCCCTTCACATTGTAGGCCCATTTGCGGGCGAGCTTGCAGGCCGTCTCACCACCTTCAACACCTGAAATGTCATAAAAGTATGGAGGTGTCAACAAATGCACTCGTAATGACTGGTGAGGATGCTAGCGTGTGATGCTGCTCCTGCTGACAGCACCTGTGTTCATGGGTAGGACTTTGTCGTAGCCAAACAGGCCGGTGATGTACTCCTCGTAGGCTCCCAGCACGTCGTTGTAGAACGCGCGGGAGGTCAGGGCGAGTTTGGAGGCTTGGGCGGTGAGCGCGGCGATGATCTTCGGGTGGCAGTGGCCCTGGTTCACTGCACTGTAGGCGCTCAAGAAGTCATAATACCGGCAGCCATCCACGTCCCACAAATAGATACCTGGGAGGACACGAGAGAACCACCACTATCGTCACGGGGCGAGTGTGTATTTTTAGTAATCATGTGATGCTCGGCACTCACCTTCCCCCCTCTCCAAGGCCACGGGCAGCGGGTGGTAGTTGTGCGCTCCGTACTTGTCCTCGCGGGCGTAGATTTCCTCCGAGGTGAGCGGGCGGTCGGACCTCAGTTTGTTTGCGGCCGTGGAGGCGGGACGCGTGCCGGAGTGGACGCTGCGACTGAGAGCGGGGGCCAAGCGGCTCAGGTTGCGCCCGAGCTGGAGAATCATTCCCTTCGTGGTTGGAAGCTGCTACGTCTATTTGATGATATATTAACTTTTATTTCAGACTCAAGGATGTGACTTACCCACAAAAATGATTTGGGCCTGAACACACATATATAAAGATTTAAAACACATATACAAGCAAAGCAGAGTACATAGACCTACCAAGGCCTTATGGGACTGGTAGCGTGAAGTGCGAAACTTTATACTTGACAAACCCAAGATGATTACATTTTCAGAGATGTTAACCCGGCAGATAAATTGATACATAATACTTTCAAAGCTGTATTAAGTAATCTTAACTGCCGCAGTCACAAACATTTCACTGGCACTACACCATCTCGGTCTCTTTAGTAATATTACATAAGCATTACATAAGCTTCTTTGAGTCTCTGTAGACTTGCCTTTTTTAGCATTTTGACTCAATTTTCAAACAATTTTCCATGATTAACACGGTCAAAAACTTGAGGCATCAATAAAACACATGAGAACGGATGAGTTTTGACCTCTATATTTGTTGACAATTTCCTTAAAGGCATATATACACACACAGGTCAGCGCCATGTTTGGCTTTAAAGCCAAATTTGTTATCTGAGGAGTGAATAAACTCATTTAATCCGTCCATTAGAATTATTTTCAGGACCTTTGACAGAATACTGGCCAAAGCAATGGGCCTGTAACTCTCTAGGCTACCTGCTTTACCAGCTTTGTTTTTAATAACCTGCACTAACAGGACAGACAGCATTGAGTCTGGTAACAAGCCATGAGTCACGAGGCCGGTAAACCAGATGGCAACAAGAGGACCTATCCTGGGACTAACATATTTAAGATGTTCAGCAGTGATATGGTCTGAACCACTTGCTTTGCCATCATCCAACTTATTTATAGCTTGGTACACCTCGTGACATAATTGTCGTTGACACATTCGTCTCAATATCTTCCGCCTTGTATATAGGTCCGCACTAATACAGTTAAATATTTGCATGGCATCATTATAAGCTACTTGGAGTCTCTGTAGACTTGCATTTTTAATAATTGGATCACACGTGTGAAGTATAGAGTACCATAGGTACCATAATGTTCCTTCCATAACTCAGCAATATTGTCTGCTCCTAAAATTCCGTCACAGTGCACGGCAAAGATGTTTTACAGTTGTTAAGAAGTCTCACTTCTTTCCAGAAATCAACAACATTATTATTTCTCAACTTCTTGGCCATGGAGTCAGACCTCATGGCTTGCTCATCTTTGCAAAATTAATCGAATGGCATGAGAGGCATGTTTTTTTTAAGGGGTTGCATGAATGCATTCTTGCAAACAAACAGGTGGTTTTCTGTAAACAAAGACAATAGGAACCATAATGTAACAAACAATAACAAAGCATAATAATAAGCAAATAAAGAGCCAATTATAAAGGAAATTCTAAAACCTGGTGACATTTTATAGAACAAAATAGTAGTCCAAATAATCAACAGACGAATCTGCAGATTATTCAATAAAGAAAATACAAAAAAAGCACATTGCAGCAACAAGAAACGTGCTTAATAAACCAACACGCCGTTATATGACATTGAATAGAGCCCGTGGGCCTCGCCTGTATGCTGAATAACGCTTTTTCTTTCACAAGCAACACAAAGGAGGGACGTACTTGGCGGCGTTGACAAAAAGCTAATCCCAAAGCAGCACGGCAACGCAACTGTGATGTTCCAGACTAAGTAGACGCCCTGTGACATGCAAGACTCCTGTTTAAACAGCTAGGATGATGTGGCACTAAAATGCAACGAAATGAAATTCTGGCAAAATTGACAGTACGTGCAAAAAAAAAGAAAAAGAAGAACAGATTAGTTATCCAGAATCCTGCTCTGGATAATCAATAACTCTGACCGGTGAATAAACACACAAAGCCAACAGAGGCAGCGACTGGTTTCTATGAACGCGGCTCCTGAGAGGCGATAGGTTCCTGGAGGGGGGAGGCAGCCTCGCACCCCACCCCCCTCCCTCCCTCCCCCGCCGCAGTAACTTCACAGCCACGCGAAAACCCGCAGTAGCAACAACGTTAATTCCTCACTGAGCGGCTTTCAGAAACCGGGTCGTGTTACGTAATACTGTATCGTCGGGTTGTGTGTATGTGTGTGCGGGAGGGGGGTTCGCATGACGTCCCCTAAAACGCTTACTTAAGCTATGACAGTCGCCATAAATTATATGAATGCCCCCCCATTCCCGAGCGTGAACTTCTTATAAACCGCTGCTAACCGCACGCACGCGCAGGCGGCGGCGGAGCACCTGCGCCTTTTATTTATATTTGTAAAACACCAGCTAGCTAGCTAGCTAACAAACGTTAGCGCCTGCCGGATTTCAGTTGCCTTTAAGCGATCTCTAAACCCTCGATGACGGGGAGAGGAGAGGAAAGGAGCCTCGCGGGGGAAGCCAAATAAGTACCAGAGAAGTGAAGCGAAGATTAAAAGCCCCTCTAGTGGCGCGAGGGATGTCCGTCCTGTCCTGATGGGTGAAGCTGAAGGCGCCGGTGCGGCTTAATAAATGCCCGTTGGTTGGGCGGGGGGCGGGGACGAGCCCTCGGCGCCTTCCGTGCGTGCTGCGTCAGAGGACACGCCCCCATGCCGCAACTTCACCCGGCGATTGCAAGATCGACCAATTTTTAAGTCGCCTAGACGAAACAGACAACCGTCATTCATTAAAACGGCGAAAGAGTGACACGTTCGTTCAGCTCGTTCGGTTAAAAGACACTTCATTGTTTGAGTTATATTTATGAAATCATACCACTGCATCTTTTAGGTAACTTAACTCCGACAGTGAGCGTCGCCCATAGGCCCGTGTATGTTATTATTAGTCATACGAACCGCTATATTCATTCACGGGAGCTGCCCGGCTCGCTCCACGCGCATGCGCGTTTCGAGGCTGTCATTGCGTCATGGCTGACACGGACTGGCCGGGCTGTGCGAGGAGTTTGAAAGGTGTCATACTGGACATGTGCGGCGTTTTATATGACAGCGGGGAGGGCGACGGGGTCGCCATTCCCGGTTCAATTGAAGCGGTGAAAAGGTGAGTTGGGAGTTGTTTTTTTTATACCTTTAAATACGGTCTCTCCGTAGTGTTGCCAACTTCATGGATGCTAACGTTAGCATTCCCCTGCTAGACTCCCAACGCGTCTCTATGCACGCATGATGTTAATATCTGAACGGTGCGCGGGGGCGTCTCTATCCACAGTGTCACCATGTTGCTGCAAGCTCAACCTCCTTGTGCTTTTGGTTTTAAAGGCTCAAGGCATCCGACCTGCAGCTGCGCTTCTGCACCAATGAGACTCAGGCAGCCAGAGAGACGTTCGTCGCCAAGCTGCAGAGACTGGGCTTCGACATCCTCGTGTCTGAGGTCTTCTCTCCCGCTCCTGCCGCCGCGGCTGTCCTCAAGGAGAGGGGCTTACGGCCCCACCTGCTCGTGTATGATGGTGAATACTACTGCGCCTTGACAGCATCCCCTGAGTGGTTCCTGCAAAACATGCAACGACTCAACATGTGGCGTTTAATTGAGCAGGAAAGCAACATATCTAACATAACGGTGCTTTGTTTAGGCCCAGTTGTGCATCATTATTAGCTTCTGAGGAAAAAAAACAGATTTCTGGATTTGTTGACAGTATGTAAACTGTAAACTGTGTGTAAAATGCGTCCTCCAAATGACTCCATACGTTCACTCCGATGCAGGACTTCTCCCAGAGTTCGACAGTGTTGACCAGAGCAACCCGAACTGCGTGGTGATTGGAGACGCCGCTGAAAAGTTTACCTACCAGAACCTGAACGAGGCATTCAGGGTCCTCACAGACCTGGAGAAGCCACTTCTGTTCTCTCTGGGCCAAGGGTAAGAGGATATTGTGCAACTCTACAGGCATTATTGCCTATTCTAATTGATAAGCACAACGTAAAATATATACGTGTGATCTCCCCATAGGAGGTACTACAAAGAGACGGACGGTTTGAAACTAGACGTCGGAGCCTACATGAAGGCTCTGGAGGTACAGTAAGTGCTTCGTTTGCATTGGTTAAGAAGAGCAGTTCTTATGTGAACATTGATGATGATTTTTTTCCCTCCAGTATGCGTGTGATTTAAAGGCCGAAGTAGTTGGAAAGCCGTCCCCGACGTTCTTCCAGAGTGTTCTCAATGACATGGGACTTCAACCACATGAGGTACGTAACAACAAAGTCAACCATAATAATCCAGATTCCCACTGCACTTTACATGTTTTCCACACGTTTTTATCTAGGTTCATTTTTTTAAATGTAGCTTTACAGTCAATGATTTTTGACTGTTTGACCTTTGACTGAGTGAGTCAGTCAGTGGGAACTGTGAGTTGCCCTTAACAAGGCAGAAGTGATCAAGATGTTCAGCGTTCACCAGGCGAGCTTGAAGTGGAGGTCGTCGCGCTGCAAAGACGCGGTTGTCGCTAACCACCGTGTGGCAAACACGCGGCCGCAAGCTTCCCCAATCGTGCAATTATTGATAAAAAACACTACAAGGGTAAATAGCAAAAAGGACCAATGCCACACAGCTGCCCCCAGATTTCTGAGCAGATCTTTGGCCACAAACTCTCGAGTGACTACAAAAGACCGGCAGCGGGACACTGGGCTTTCGGTCTCCTCAGTGAGGTGCATACTAAACGTGCAAAGGTCTCCGTGCCCGAACTCCCAAGGCGAACACCCTCACTGACCCAGAAGCACAAGAAAAGAAATCTGATGCTCAGACAGCTGAGAAGTTCATAAAAGAAACACGAGGTGAAGGGAGGGCAGGATGAAATCTATCCGTCAAGTGCCGTGTGGGCGAGAGCTGGAAACAATAGGAAGCGATGACTACTGGCGGTCCTCGTGAAATAAGTTACATGTTACCATAATTACATGAGATGTTGGCACGTTATTAGTGTTAATTTACATTATTTGCATATAGCAGCTTAAAACAACTTCACCTAAAAAATAAAATAAAAATGTTTTTCTTGCAGGCGCTGATGATTGGGGACGATCTGGTGAATGACGTGGGAGGGGCCCAACGCTGTGGAATGAGAGGCGTTCAAGTCAGGACGGGCAAATACCGGTCAGTGGGGTCCTTCAATCTACCAAAGATAAACATGAGTCCTTATTGGCCACCGCTGGGCCACGGCTGCTCCTATTGGTTGGTGAAACCATCCATGTCGGTGTGTGAGCAGCCAAAGTTTCCTTTACTAAGATGCCATCTTGTTCTCTGGCTAAATCTGTGCTTTTATAACCGATAAAAGTGTAAGTGTAAGATTGCTTCATTACTTAGTTGCATAGCTGTGTTTTAAACCTCTGTTTCATAAAAGGTTTAGATCTTTTTAAGAAAAGTATGAGGTTTTTTTTCTTCTTTTTTATAGATCTTGAAAGCTATTCTGATCCTACTGCGAATAAAATTCTATATCTATTTGCCAGCAGAGGGCGCAGTCACACCAGGATTGTGAGTCCCAGTTTCCTCCTCTACGCTCACTGGGCCGCCTCATTCTTTAGCATTCCACGTTTTGTTTATTGGATTGAGAAGGTGCCGAAAATAGCTTTATCCTCTCCACATGTTGAATGCAACTCGCCCACAGGGCTATAAGTCACCCAAGAATTTATGATCCCAAATCATTACGCCTTTCTCATGGTGTAATTACAGAAACATCTGGTTGATTATTTTAGAAGACATTTGTGGTAGTTACGGCTTGATGAAAAAGAGGGAAATGTCAGGGAGTAGTTATGGAAGTCCAGTTCATGCCACTGATATGCTGTTCATTATAACAACCAGTCCCTGAACAGTGATTCAGAATAACACTCATTGTTACATTAACGTTTGGGATTTGGTTTGTGCGTTCTTCAGCAAAGTTTTTGTGGAGCGGGAACTTTGCAATGGATCCGAATCACGGGGCACAAATAATGAGTGGTTTGGCTATAAACCACCGATCAGTCTGAAGAGTGCCACGCTGGATGACCTGCATGCAACTGCTGCGCACTTGCATGCAGGTCTGGAGTCACGTGACCACGGAACGCTGAGTAATCTTCTTGAGCATCGGCCCGCTGTAATCCTGCACGAACGGCACAGTCGCTCTGTTTGGCTGCATGGCACACGTGTGTTTCCACTTTGATCCGAGTTCAGAGGCCACGCGTCGCTGTCGGCTCAATCAGGGGAGGCGGGACCTTTTTCAAACAGATACTCTGCAGAATTAAATTCATATGGTTTGTTATTCTTATTACTCTGCGATCTTCTCCTAGCAGCACAGTTTGGCGTTGGTGTGCTAACTCTCTTAATACTGAATTAACTCCACTAAATACAGGATGAAGCAGATATGAATCAATCACTGCTCATCCTTTTTTTTTTTATTATTTCCTTCTGTTTTTTGGGAGGAGACCGCAACTGGTTCAAATAAGTGGGGAACATATGTGGGATCTGTATTGTGTTACCCGACGTGTTGCGTTTCAACTGTGGTGCGTCAGATTTATGGACTGATTGGTGAATGGAGTTTGTGCGTCAACACGTGCGTACAGAAGGTTATTAGATGGGTGGTTGAACAACGTTTTCAGTGCTGTGCAGTAAAAGGACTCGCTAGTGTTTATCAATGTTTTATTGTCAGGATTGGATTCAAGTTGTTAAAGTTGTATCAACAAGTCTCTATTTTTGTGCGTGGGTATTGACAGAAGACACTTAGTGAATACTTCCCTCTGCACACTTTTGTGCATCAAATTCAAATGTTATGCCTCCAAAGTGAGCTGTAGTTTAATCAATTAACATAAACCCCTCGTGATACATATGATCCTTCAGTAGATTTATGTGACTGTGCAATACACATTCCCTCCGAACAAGAAGAGAAACCGTGATTTGTATTATTATTTTTAATCGTTTTTGTTTCTGTGGGACTTGCGAGTGAGATTTAGCGATATTTAGCCAAACGGTCCCAGTGAACCCAGGCTTGCTGGGAGCAGCTATAAACCTCGGTCAGATCTGTGAAAACACAGCTGTTTCCAAGTCAAGCAGATGCTGCGCAGGCCTCCAGTTCCCATCACGCTTGGGGGAGGAAAGAAGAAGGAAAAAGGACTGCTTCAAATACCCCGAGCCCTGTGACAAGAGAGGAAGGGAAAAAGATACAAATCACAGACAATCTAATCATACCTGCTTATTTTGAAGAGTTTCTGACTTACTCATGCAAGGAGTGCAGAGTCTCATCAAGCGTGACTTTGCTCTGTCTGATGCTGGGATGTTTCTTTTGTTTAACGTTTACACTGTTTGCCATCTGACTGGCTTCAAAGTTGTTGGAGGATTCGAGGTCTTGCATCTTTTGGAAAAAGCTAAGACGTGTGCGATACTTTAGGAATGTCAGCTTTAGGTGAATTAATCCTCATCCTCGTGTTATTTGCTCCTTTGTACTTTTCCCTGCGATGCAAAGGACACGCATGCGCTGCTTGTGTTTTTTCACGATGGCTCCTGCAGATAAAATCAAAGGGTGGTGGTCATGAGAGAGCATTACAGTGCCCACCAGTAATGGCTGTTGAGACTATAGGCATAAGATAAGGCTAATTGTAATGGGTCAGTGTTCTGCCAGCAGTAAACTTTCTCCCTTGTTCTTGAATAATGAGCGACGGTTAGCGCACCAGCCTCAGGGGAGCCAGAGAACTCTTTTGCTCTTTTAATGCAGAACAGGTTTGCAAGAAACTGGCCTCTGCCAAAAAGTGGTTTAAAACCGGGATTACGGCGGTCGAGCTGCCAGCGCTCCACTCCTCGACCTCTGCTCTGCCTTTCGGCGCTGTAGTTTGGCTCATCAAGTGCAATTTCTGTTCTTTTGATAGCTACTTTTTAGGAGAAGCTTTTGGGCTGTTTTGTGGGTTATAACCGTGTACGGTGTAGAATACGGACGCAGTCAAACTGCGAGAAAAGCTCCGTTTCGCGTGAAGCATAACATCTGCACTGAGGACGATCTCCCGCGCCCTTTCGTGCAGCACACTGGCGTTCCCTTTGGCCCCGCCTCCCAGCCTTGGGCTTATCACATTAACAGATTAAAGAACAGTCTACAGCTTTTTACAACTTTTATGGCCTAAATATTTGAAGAACATCTCGTTCCCAGTGGGGTTTTTTTTTTTTTTTTTTTTGGTCCCTTCGGCGCATCAGAACAAGCCCGTAGGACACGACGCCCCGTTGTGGTGATGTGTCATATACGCACAATACTGGAGAAGCAGTTAAGAGTACACGCTGTCCCTTCCTCTGTCCTGCGGCTCACACCTGTTACCAACCTGTTGAAACGTCATCCCTCCCTTTTGGCCCCGTCCTGCTTCTCTTATCATCGAGGACCCGCATCAGCACAAAGGCGTTGGGGGAGTGTTTACGGACGCACTGTTAATGGGTGTTTTTGATCGAGGGCCATCGGAGGGCCATCGGGTGGCTGGAAGGCCCTTAACCGGGGTTCCCGTCTGGAATCTGGCATAGTGCACGGCGAACACTCGCGCACACTGCAGCGTCTATCTTTTTTAGAAAAGTCGTTTACATTGTGGGCCGTCGCTCCGCTGCTAGTGGCAGTGTTGGGAAACCGTTTTCCAGGCAAGGGCAAGGGCAAGGCCAGATTAATCGTCCCCGGAGAGAAGCAGCCCCCACCCCCCCCCCACGCGACGGTGCGACCCAAGAATCAGTTTACCAGCACCACACCCTGGTTCGTGCCCTTTCCGTCTGCGAGCCGTCACGCAGGGAGGGGGCCAGGAAGTGGGTGGGTTTCTTTTCTGTAAGGGGGGGGGGTTCCATGTGATTGCCTCAGCATTACCTCTGTGCGGTGTGTGGGTTGAACTTACAACTGCTAATGTCAGCAAGCGTGCAATGATGTTTCCATCTTTAAAAAAACAAAAAAAAAGAAGCATTTGCTCGTTGAGTGAAACCAAAGACAAAACCAAATCGTTGCGCTCTTTTATTTAGCGCAATTGATTTCTCGTCTGTTAATATTTGGGTTCCTTCAGTTGTAGCCGCCAGCAGTGGTGCATTTGCAGCCATTTTGCTACGGGTTGGTTGACACTTCCTTTCCCTCGCTGGGAGATATTGTAGAACTCTGACATTACTGATATGAAATTACAAACAACGATATCTAAACAATATCATTGAAATGTGGTTTCACTATGATAGCCTGTTAGTCATTATCCAAAAATTCCTAGCTTTCACTTTTACTATTAGCTTCTACTCCTGTAATCGTAGTCCTCGCAGCCTGAGGCAGATGGGATGCCACGCTGTGATGAAGTCATGCTTATGTGACCTGTGAAGTCTTCTTCACTGACCTCGGGCAGCGGTGTTGGATGATCCGCTTCGCGTGAGAGGAAGCACTTTTTACTACAGACTGCCTGGCACCACTGGCCTGTAACAATTGTCCGCCAGTCAATCCAGTTTGGGCCAGGTCCCCCTCCTACAGTGTTTGAGTGGCACGTAATCTGCGTTTAGTGGGGAGGGTTCGGAGCGGATTTCAACCGGTCGTGCAAATCGGCGCAGCGAACCAGCACACAAGGAAAGCAAATGGCCCTTCAGATATTTAATATATCTGTTATAGATACCGTATCTAGTGCAGAAATACAGCGTCTGTTTTTAACGTTAACTTTCCATGTGCTAGTGCCTTCATATGTTGTAGTCCCACTATTTGTTACGTAAAGTATGTAACCTGTTTTCTCTTTATTTTCTATTCCTTGTGCGCAGGGCGCCTTTACAAAAGAGAGCCAGCAACTCTCCAACCTGAATAAATACAAGGCCGAATGACTGACGAGTGAAAGGGTTCATGAAAAAGTGTGTGAACGTTTTCACCGAGTCGATTGTCGACAGAACGGTGCCCCATCGATCGTATCAAACCGACGTTAGACTGAACAATGCACAGCGGTGTTGGGTTCATGGACGGGCTTTGTCCTCTTCTGCAGGTCTGTGACGCTGAGCCTTAGCGGAGGCACCGTGCGTCGGTGGCTGTGGTTGCAGATTAATCTCCTGTTTTTTTTTATTTTTTTTTATAGACGCAGCGTCGTCACAGGGATGGCTCTCGGGTACAGACTGTATTTCAGCCGAGTTTATCTTTCACTCACCTGCCGGTGCCAAGT